ACATAGTCATTTCCAGGACAGCCAGGACTACATAGTGAGAGCCTGTCTTTAAAAAAATAATATTTAAATAAAACAAAACAAAAAGCCAGAATTCTAGGTGAAGGTGGTGCATGCCTATAGTTCCAGTATTTGGGAGGTGGAGGCAGGAAGATCAGAAGTTCAAGGTCATCTTCGGCAGACCTTGATTTAAAAATACGCACTTATTGCATGTCCAGGCCACAAAACTAGAAAAGGGATCATGAAGGGGAGGAAGAGTCCTCAGTGGAGGTGAGAAATGGCACAGTGGACGTGAAGAACAGAGGTGAGGACTAACTAGAAGAAGAAAGGGAACCCATGAGGTGGGAAGGCTGATATAGGGAGGACCATGCAGAATAAGGGCACCTGGCACATGGGTGAAGACATGCTGATAAAACACATTGCTTTGCAGGTTAGCCTAAAAAAAATCAAATAATTAAAAAACAACTGGAGGAGGCAATGATATAAATACAGTATATATGAAACTTTAAAAATTAATAAAGTAATTAGAATGAATTTTGGATTCGCCTGTGTCAGTTAGATAATGGACAGGGTATGTGGTGCTTCCAGACCTGTAGAGGGCGAGCCTTTCCTTCTTGATGCCTTTGGCTCCTCCTGGCCTCTTTGATGTTTGCTCACCCAGCAAATTTCTCAGGAGGTGTCATGATACTGTTTCCAGTCACTGGAAAGTTCTTTATCTACAGACAAAATTAATAACCCCTGCTTCCTAAGTCATTCATTGGTGAATTTGGGTGAGGAAAGAGAATCAGCCACTCCTCAGGGAGACGTGTCTTGAAGCGGCTGAGTGATGCATGCAGGTTTCATCTGTGCATCGCAATGAACATCCTTTCATTTTATTTATTTAAAGATTTATTTATTTATGTACACAGTGTTCTGTCTGCATGTATCCATGCAGGTTAGAAGAGGGCACCAGATCTCACTACAGATGGTTGTGAGCCATCATGTGGTTGCTGGGAATTGAACTCAGGACCTCTGGAAGACCAGCCAGTGCTCTTAACCACTGAGCCATCTCTCCAGCCCCTCCCCTTTTTTTTTCATTTTATTGAGATTGAGTCTTGGCATGTAGTCTTAGTCTCCTGAGATCTGGGATTATAGATGTGTGCAACTGCAGCTGGATTGCAATTAACCTTTTTTCCCCCAACTTTTTATCGATTCTTTATGGATTTCACAGTATGCATCCTGACCCCACTCATCCTCTCAAATCTGTTCTTTGGCCTTGCAACTCCCCCCAAACAAAACAAAATGTAAAAGAAAAACAAAACAAAACAAAATTCTCAGTGTGGAAGCTGCAGTGGTCTACTGAGTCACACCGTTTATCCTTTAATCCACACATCTTTACTGGCAAGTGTGCATTGTCACGAGTCATTGGCCTGGTTTGAGACCTCTGGCTTCTGCTGCTCTATTGATAATGGGCCCTCACTGGAACTCCTCTTGGATATCTTGTTGTTCTGTGTCATAGAGATCCTGCAGTTTTGGATCTGCAGGTCGGGCCTCTTCACATGGTCCTGTACTTCATAGATGAGGTGGATGTTGGGGCAGGCCAACTCACAGCCCTGGTTCTGGGCCTGGATGGTAGCTGAGTTAGTAATGCCCACCAGCTTTCCCTTGTTGTCACCACCAGGAGACCTCTCCAGTACTACCCCAGCTAGCTCACCTAGTACAGCCGGCAGCAAGGAGCAGGACCAGTTCTCCTGCTCTCACATCCTTGGGTCCAGCTCACTGGTATTTACCACACCAGTGTTTTACTGTTTTGCCCAGGTGAGATGTTGCCCCCCTCTCCCAATTGCTGTAGGGGACATACAAGGGGTGGGATGGGGTCAGCTTTCCTGTTCTCATGCCCTCAGGGCCAGCTCACCTGTGTCCCTACCAACAGGGTCAGCTCTAGTGTGCTGCCCAGGCAAGGTGTAGGGCTCTCTTTCCTGTGTGCTGCAGCCGGTGGGGGGCTCTCCCACTCTTATGGCCCAGGGGCCAGCTCTCCCACCTGCCATAGGTGGCAAGGGATGAGGCAGTGAGGGCATCTTCCCTTCACCCATGCCACCATATGGCAGATGAGGGGTGGGGCCAGATTTCCCATTCACACTTGTGGATCACCTGCACCCCCTGTCAACAGGATCAACTCTACTGTGCTGCCTAGGTGAGGTGCAGGGCCCCTCTCCTGAGTGCTGCAGCCTGTGAGGGGTGGGGCCAACTCTATGCATCCCTATCCTCACTGCTTTCATGGTAACAGGAGCCACAGACATGGCCCTTAGCAGTAGCCCAAGGTCCAGACAACACCATGGCCTCTGGTGGCAGTGCAGACCACTCAGATCTGTATGGCCCCAGCAGAGACACAGCCCTTGGGACATTAATATGGCCCTAGGTGGCAGATGGGATTGAAGGTATGTGCCATCATGCCTGCCCCCCTTTGGGATTTATTTTTATGTATCTGAGTATTTTGCCTGGGTATATGTATGTGTACTATATGCATGCCTAGTGCTTACAGAGGCCAGAAGAGGGCACTGGATCCCCTGGAACTGAAATTGCAGATTGTTGTGAGCCACCATCTGGGTGCTGGGAACCAAATCCAGGTTCTCTGCAAGAGTAGCCAGTGCTCTTAACTGTGGAGGTGTCTCTCCAGCCCCATCAACCACTGGTTTTAAGCAGGTCCTTCATTGACCTCTCCTTGGTTTTCCAGTGTGTAGGTGTCTTAGTCACTGTTCAATTGCTGTGAAGAGACACCATGACCAAGGCAACTCTTATAAAAGAAAGCATTTAATTGGGGCTTGCTTACAGTTTTAGAGGGTTAGTCTATTATCATCATGGCTCAGAACGTGGCAGCAAGAAGCACGGCGGCAGGCTGGTGTGGTGCTGGAGATGTAGCTGAGTTACAATATTTCTGCAAGCAAAGGAGTGGGGGAGGAAGGGAAGGAGGAGGGGAGAGAGGAGAGAAGAGAGAGAGAGGAGAGAGAGAGAGAGAGAGAGAGAGAGAGAGAGAGAGAGAGAGACTGGGTCTGGTATATGATTTTGAAACCTCAAAGTCCATCCCCATTGACACACTTCCTCCAACAAAGCCACACCTCTTATCTCTAACAGTGCCACTCCTTGACTGAACATTCAAATATATGGGCTTATGGAGGCCATTCTTATTCTAACCATCACTGTAGGTGATTTCATGCCCAGAACTTGGAGACCTCAGCATCCTCTTGGACCTCCAGGGTTATAAAAATCTCAAGGCTATGTCTCCTTTGTGGAACTTATCTAGATGCTAATGCCGGGCTGACTTTAGCTCCTTCAGGGTCTGTTCTTGCTACACTACAGAATCAGAGCAGGGCTCTGGCAGTGTCTGTCATTCAGTAGACAGGTGATACTTTGTGGCTGTGAGTCAGGGTCTTATGAATTAGTTCAGGCTGGACTTGAAGTCAGAATCCTCCTGCCTCAGCATCCCCGAGTACTAGAGTTATGGGCATGCTGGACCAGTTTGGTCTACTTGAAACTGAACAAAAAGCCAGTATTTATGTCACATTGGTTTCATGGATGACTTCCCAGAGGCTGGAGACAATAGGCACAAAGGGCTTAAAAACAGCACCTTGGAGGCCAGGCATGGTGCTGCATGCCTTTAATCCCAGCAGAGGCAGGCAGATCTCTGTGAGTTTAAGGCCAGCCTGGTCTACAAAATGAATTCTGAGACAGCTACAGCTGTTTCACAGAAAAACCCTGTCCCGAAAAACAAAACAAAAGCCCAGTACATTGGTGGTGGAGAGCTAGGTCATTAATTAAGATTGATTGTTAGTCTTGCATATGATCTAAATCTGGCTCTTAGAACCCATGTGGTATGCTTCACAGCTACCTGTAAGTCTGTATACTTGTACATATAAATTCATCTTTAACAAGAAAGCAAATGAAGCCAGGCGGTGATGTTGCACTCCTTTAATCCCAGCACTCAGGAGGCAGAGGGAAGTGGATCTCTCTCTGAGTTCCAGTCCAGCCTGGTCTACAGAGTGAGTTCCAGAATGGGCTACATAGCTACTGGGAAACTCTGTCTTGAAAACCCTGTCCCCTCCTTGCTCCATAAAAAAAGAAAGAGTATCAGATCCCCTGGAATTGGAGTTAAGGATGGTTGTGAACCACCATGTGGGTGCTGAGAATCAAACCTGAACCCTCTGCAACAGCAGCCAGTGCTCTTAACCACCGAGTCATCTCTCCAACTCCAGGTGTGCACCTTTAAGAAGACTGTCATTCACTCTTTCTTCCACCATTTAAAAAAATTTCTATTTTTTTTTCTTTTTTTGAGACAGGGTTTCTCTGTGGCTTTGGAGGCTGTCCTGGAACTAGCTCTTGTAGACCAGGCTGGTTTCGAACTAAGGTCAGAGTCCACATTCCTGGTTCTTTGCCTTTTCTAAGCTATGGCCCATAGCACCCTCTGGTGGCTGCTAAGTGACAACACCAGGGCCAGTTTCTGCTCAGGGTTCCTCTAAGACAGCATATTCAAACACTGGTCAATTCACTGTGAATTAAGGCCCAGGGGGGTAGGAGTTGTGCAAGATTTCATGGAGGGTGTTTTACTCATGGTTGTACAGTTGACAACCAGTCCAGAAACACTTTGATAAACAGGTTATTTGTGGTTGATGGGTGAGTTCATTGCCCTTTAGAATTCCCTCCCTTCTGGTCTAATCTAGAAGACTCTGGGCATGGAGTTCACCCCTGTGCTTCTCCACACCTAAGTCCCTTTCTGTATCATGGCTTTTGCAGGGGCAGCCCTCAGCCCTATCCTTGGTTTGGTCTATCAGCTCTGCAGGGCAATCCTGATGGCTTCACCCCAGCTTCTAAGACATTCTGGTTAGCTACTCTTCGTGCTTTGCACCTACAATAGTCCTCACTTTGGTCTGCCTTCCCCTCTGAGTTTCAGCTCTCTGCAGGACATCTGGAAGCTGGGCAGGTGCTCAGTGCTCTGAGGACATCAACAGAAAGGCAGGTGACAAGGGACATAGCAGAAACCACTTTCAAGAAAGTCTGGAGGTTTATTGAACAATAGCAGTCACAACTGAACATGGTAAGTTGTCCTTCACAAGGCTCCCTCTTCCAGGCAGGAGGGAGGAATGGTCTTGGGCTTTCCCCATGGAAACCCTGTCTCACTTCCCAGCTTCCCTACCTGTAGCTCCTGAGGACTCAGCCTTCTAGCCAGTCACAGAGCAGAGTGGAACATGAAACCTGGGACCACTCTCACCTAATGGTGTTAGCAGGGTCCTGGCTCAGCATCAACCTTGAACCAAAATATGACTTGGATTTATCATAGAAAGCATTAGGGACAAGTGTTGATGAATTGGCAGAACTGCAGTCTTTGTCCCTTTTACTCTGTCTTTAGAAAACTACAAACACAACGCCTCCTGAGCGCTGAATGCAAACTGCCTAATCTGGAAGAACTAGGGACTGCCAAAGGGAAGAGTCTGCGCTTCTCCTCCACACACAGGGACAAGTGTGACAGGAAGGACTGAAGAGGCACCATGATGCTGACTTTGGAAATCCACTATGCCCACCTGCTGCCTCAAGAGAAGACCTATCATTCTTGACTGCTTTCACACCCAGAAGCTCCAGTTGGCAGTAGAGGGTAAGACAGCTTGCCACACAAAGGCCTTGCCTCACAGCAAGGACACGCTGCATTCCAAAGTGTTTCTGGAATCTTCTGGGCAGAGTGGTTGTGGGGGAGGCTGCCTTTCTAACTGCATCTTGTTTTGTGATTTTGGCCTCTGAATAAAGCTTTAGAGGAAAAGAGACCAGCTGCCTGGCTTGTCACTTGGCCAGTGGCATGTCCACAGGTCCTTGTGCCTGTGCAGACTATCAGCTGAATGGAAACCTGACTCTTTGAGATAAGGCTGTCCACACCTGACATCAAAACAAGGTGGAAATTAAGCATTCGCAGTCAACCACCATACCAACCTGGGCCTTCCTGAGACATATCTCCTCAAGTCTTATACCCTAAGATCAGACAGAGTTCAGCAGTCACAAATGCCAAGGTGAGCTCAGAGGAAGTGGCTGCCAGAGAAGGGGGATGAACCAGATGAGAATGAACGAAGTGATTGAGCAAGTGAGTGAGCGAGCAAGGCTGGGGATGGCTGTGGCTGCCCCTGCCTTAACCATCTGTTTGGCTTGACATCACCTGGAAATTCAGCAGGTCATCTCACCCCTGATAGTGAGGGACAGGCAGAGCACTTCTGGGGGTTGGCATTCCCCCTACACAGGGCTGCCAGGTTCCTAGAACTTGCAGACCATCCTGTCTCAGGGTTGGTTCCTGCACAGGTAGGCAGTTGCCCTGTTGTGGGGCCTCTGGGTCTCTGGCTCTGCTTTAAGCCTAGCACCTCTTGCTTTACAGTCAGACATAAGGACACACACTCAGCTCACAGGACCTGCACAAATGCCCCTCCTCCAACCGCCCCTGTTTGTTTGTCTAGCAAGGCACTAGGAAGTGGTTCAAGTTTAGGGAATCGGCTGCTCAGTTGCATTTTCTCTTTGTAAAAGGCACGATTTTTATTGTAATGAGGCCACACTGCTCTCTGAGGACTTGACTCCCCTTGGCAGCAACTCCCATCCCCACTGGATTCTAGACACCCTTCCACCCCCCATTTTGATTCCTTCCTAGCTGGCTATTTGTAAGGTAGAATGTTCATATGGAAAAGGAAGCTAGGAATCCATGAGTGAGCTGGGACAGCACAGGGGCTGCATGGAGGTGGCTCTACACCAGCCACTTGGCCAACCTGGGGGCTTGCCAACCTCAATACCAGAATCTCTGTCCTCATGTATCAGTTACTTCACTGGTAAGTAACACAATCAAGTGACTCAATCCTTGGAGGGTAAGTTTTTGTTTGAGACCCCCTGGGACCCTGACTGGGGCTAGGGATGATCTGGTCAGGGAATAATAGCTCATGAGGTCCTCATTGTTAACAAGGCTGCAGCTTCCATCCCTAGGGTCATATATGGGCTTGGGGCAGGGGTTGCCTGACACTCGGCTGCTTGCATTGTATGCTCACACACCTAATGGCTCATCTTGGCTTTTGACAGAACCACAGCACTTTTAAGAAACTCCAGGGTTCTGTGAGGTTAGAACCACAATGGTCATTATCTGGGGATGCTGCCCCCATGGGACTCTGGAGGTGAGCACCTCACAGCACCCCGTTCCTCTCTGAGGGCAAGGAGCTGCTAAGGAGATAGAGAAAGGGCTTTGGAAGCATGTACTGGGAGCTGTTCAGTCTGGAGGTCTACTTATCCAGCTGAACTAGCCCCAAAAACCTGGTGCCCAGACAGCCCTGAAGCTAAAATGGGCATCTGAAATACCCAGAGAGCCAGGGGAGACATCCTTTACACCTGGCTGCAGAGTAAGGGGGGAATCTTGCCTGGCTGCTGGCCAGGGCTAGTTATGGAACACTCTGAGGTCACAGTGGGCTTTCATTGTCCTGGACCAACACAGAAGCTGGGCAGTACTGGCAGTCACCCCCAGCACAGGCAAATTGCCTTGCCAGTGGCTGGCACATAGGCTTAAAAGCCGTCCTAAGGCCAATACCACCTTTCTTTGTAGGGCACTGTCATGTCTGGGAGCAGCCTGAGGACTGGGCAACCTTACAGGACTAATTTTCTGGCCTGAGGCTACCCAGGTATTCCTAACACTTAGGGGACATTTGACAGGCCTTCTTGTAGAGCCATTTGTACCGTCTGTTCACCCTCTGGCCCTACCACACAAGTGCTTCAAGAACCCTCTGTCCTGAGCCATTTGGCCCAGCACCTTGGTGCCCATAGGTCCCCTTCTCCCACGGGAGGAAGGCTTGCAAGCTCCATAGCAACCTGAGGGGCTTGTTGAGGAGGTCTGAGGACTCAGTTTCTGTTGAACTCTTCTAAGACCGTAGAGTTGGTATGTTCAAAGAGCCACTGCTGGGTGAGGGAGGAGGGGTTGCAGGTGTTCATGAAGATCCTGTGGTCACTTTCACTACAGTCCATGCAGCCGCCACTCACAGGGAGGTACAGGGTCTTGTCCTACAAAACAGGGAGCTTGTCAGGTGGGGGACACAGCAGCTATGACAGCAACAAGGAAGCAAGAAGTTGATTTGATTGGTGCTCATATCCTGCTGGCCCTGCTCTTGGCCAGGTAT